TTCTATTTTGAATTTTTATTCAAACAAAAAATAGAAGATTTACTGTTATGCAGACTACTGCAATATTGTAATAATTGTATAAATAATGTCAACCCATTCATGACTGCATATTAGAATGGCTACTTGGACATTTATTGGAAAATGGCATCATTTGTTTACTTTTGAACATTGGCAAAAATCAAACATTTCCCCTACTTTGAGCTCCATTTCAAGGTTTTTTTCAGAGTAAAAATCAATCAAAATCACCTCTATTTCTATAATATGTTTTCCATTCTATCAAATGAGACCAAGAAAACGAGAATACAACCATAAATACTATATAAAAATAGACTACAAACTCGGCATTTTAATTAAAAAACGGTCAGTTTTTTTTTTCTCATTATGCACTGCGTGCTGCAGGATTTTTTTTAAATGGTGCACACTGACCACACAGACCCATTCTCTCACATGTGGGCCTACCAGCTTTCTCCTGCTTGATTCGAAGCCGCTAGAATTTATGAGTACATGTATGTCAAAAATGGTGGCTCATAAGACGTATATATATGACTGAAACAGTCAAAGGGTTAATTTGGGCGTCTTTATCATGCTTCCATGTTATTTATGTTATACCTAATATTATTCTGGAATAAATATGATAGGCAGATAACCTTTACTGATAGAAATAGTATAATATACAACATTTTATAGTGTCATGAGCTTACACAAGAAAGAAAGAAAACTGCAGCAAGCCTAATGGCCTATGCGAGGCAGGTCCAATTCTCCTACCGGGTTAAGGCAATGCCTTAACCTAGTCAGGTCAGGTCACGTTCACTAAAGGAAGGAGCATGGCATCTGACCTAGTAGCGTAAGTTAGTCAGGAGTGCTTTAAATGTCAGCTACCAAACATATATGAAATACGTATGACATTTAAGTGCCCCAGAGTGATTCTTAATTATATTTTATTATTATTATTATTATCACCATCGACATATCTTGTTCACTGAGTTTAATCATTTCTTAACCCTTTCAGGGTCCAAGGACAAAATCTGCAGTGGTGCTCCAGTGTCCAAGAAATTTTGAAAAAAAAAAAAAAAAAAAATTATTTTTTCTTACAGAATTAAAGAGCATATTTTTGTGAAGGTAATAAGACAAAAAAAAAATTTCTGATCAGTACTTACCGAAATACAGTGCCGAGAAGTTTGTCCAAAATGACGTGGTGGCGGCAACATCGACGAATTCCACATACGCGCATTACTTTATTTAGAAGTTTTTGTAGTTTTTTCTTTTCTTTTCCAATTTTTTTCTTTTCCTACTAACATTTGGGGCCTGAGAGACCAATACTGTATATAATGTATAAATATAATCTCACTGTATTGAACACAATAACTGCACTAAAGTTATTGTTTACCAGTGTTGTTTATTACAATAAACATGCACAAATCTTGTATAATACTAATGTTCTATCATATATTTACATATTTACAATCACTGGACATGGTTTTAGAACTGCTGGAGCTTGTGGAACTCCTTGAAACAAGGCACCATGCACAGAGGTACCTTACATTCTTCACACATAAACCGAGTGTCTTTGCGTCTTTGTTGCCGTCATTTTGTTTGTGCACAGACGATGCATCTCTTCTGAGCAAATTTCTTCTGAGTTGAAGGAAGCTGTATTATGAAATGATCACCTTCCCTCCTCAAACGCTTGGGTATATCCTGAGGAATTCGAGGGCCTTGTTGTATAGCAGGTGTTGTTACCTGGTACTTCATTATGAGTTGTCTGACAACAGACAAACAAAATTCACCATACGGTGGTCTGTTGCCAGTCTTTATTTGGTACGTATTATATGCATTGAGCATTGAAATGTCCACGAGATGGAAGAAAAGTTTCATGTACCACTTGTAACTTTTACGAACACAATCAACAAAACCAATCTGCATGTCACATTTGTCAACCAAGCGCATGTTTTGCGTATAATCAATCACTGTCACTGGTTTTCGAATACGTTCATTAGTCACTCAATCAACTTTGCCACTGTCTTGCATTTCATTACGGTGAATAGTTGTCAACAATGTGACATCTCGTTTGTCATGCCACCATAATGCCATGATGTCATTGGCAGTAAACACCTGCACGTCATCACCACGAGCACCTGCGTTGAGCCTGGGCATATGTTTACGATTAGAGCGTACTGTGCCACACACATCTGTCTTGTTCACTCGCAAGAAATCACTGAGTAATGGGCTTGTGTACCAGTTATCGGTATATAATGTATGCCCCTTACCAAGATAAGGTGCCATCATGCTTCTCACTACGTCACCTGAGATACCCAATAACATCTTGGTATCTTTAAATGTTTTACATCCAGTGTATACAACAATATCCAATACCAGGCCACTATCACAGTCAGAGTACAAACAGTTTTATACCAAAGCGTTTCCTCTTGCTCGGTATATACTGCTTGAATGACAGTCTACCTTTGAACAAAATCAAAGACTCGTCAATTACAAGATTCTTGAATGGATAAAAGTATATACTGAACTTTTGTTTGAGATGCATAAAAACATTTCTAATCTTGTATAACCTGTCACTTCTGTCAGGCCTGGTTTTGTCAGAGAAGTGTAACATACGTAACAGTAAGATAAACCTGTTCACTGGGATGATTTCACTGAAGACCGGGGTAGAAATTAGTCGATCTGTGGACCAGCATACTTTTATATTATGCTTATAGACATGAGGCATAAGCATTATTGTTGCAAAAAGCAAATACATTTCTGCAACAGTCGTCTCTTTCCACCGGTGTAGTCTTGACTGTGGTGATATTATCGTATTTGTCATGGTGTACTCAAAATACTTATTACTTTTCCTGACAATAGTTTCCATCAAGGGCTGGTCAAAGAATAATTCAAAGAATTCCAGTTCATTGGCCGTGGTTCCAAGGGAACAAGTAGGTAGAATTCCACTTTGAGAGTTATCAAAGTGGTGGGCTTGGGAACAAAATTGGGATTTTGCTGCCAATCCCATATATGGTTTGCTGGTGGATACTGGACATCATAGGCTGGTTGAGCGGGTGGTTGTGGTTGTGGTGGGCTGGTGGCTGACGCTCCGCTTTGTCCTTGAACTGAGGAGTCAGCAGCGTGAGTCCCAGCCTGGGCTGGTGAGTCACGTATGGCGGTGCCACTACCATCATCACCACCACCATCTGCTGATGCCTGTGGTCTATCCATGCCAAGTGTAGCCACATCATCCTCACTATCACTATCTAAACCTGGTGTAGGGCCACGGGATGTACTCCATCCCCTGGGCACAGCATAGGGTACACTACCCAAGCGCATGCGGCGGCGTACATACCGACGCTTCACTGGTGAATATGATTCCTCACTATCACTACTCGAATGATCGTCAAGAGCAATAAAATCACAATCCACGTCACTATCATCATCATTACTGAAGTCAGAGGCCTGGCCACGCGAAAATAATAGTTTTCTCTTGCGTTTAGGTACAACTGACCGTGACTGAGGAGTGCCCACACCAGAGGTAGAAGGTTGAGGATCGTCAGGGTTTTCTGCACTATTATCGATATCCTGGTCATTCCTTTCGGTCACTAACTGATCAAAGCCAAAGAATTCGTCTTCATTTCCACTTCCATCAGTGTCAGAACTATCAGATAGGAAGAGGAGAGTCCCAATTTTCCGTGGAGTGAGAGCTGACTTGCGACGAGGCATAGTGAACAAGGGTAACTGAGCCGGCGTTCCCACAATGCTATGTGGGCGCCTACATTTTTTGTTTATGATGCACACCCACCACGCAGACCCGTTCTCTCACATGTAGGCCTATGAGCGCTTTCGCGCTAAATTTGATGGCGCTAGAATTTTGGCGTAGATCTACGGTTTGGACACTCAGCGTGAAGCCGTAGATCTACGGGACAGACCCTGAAAGGGTTAATTAAGCTGTGACGAGAGACTGAGAATGTAAACACAGATGAACACACCAGCTAACCCCTTTACTGTGAACTTCTTTTGTACTTCTATTTTCCTCTCTTTCCTCTTCCAAGTGCTGTTGCACTTCTATCTTGTACTATGGGGTGCACAATCAAGGACAAATTTATAGATGAAATATGTAATCTTGGCGATTGCTTGATAATGAGACCCATCACTAACCCCTTTACAATGAACTTCTATTGTACTTCTTCCATTTTCTTCTTCCAGGTGCTACTGCACTTCTATCTTGTACTATGGGGTGCACAATCAAGTACAAATTTGTACAAATATGTAGTCTTGGAGACTTTAAAAGTTAGTGTACTGAGTGGCTGTAAGAAGATTGAGATGCTTGATGCTGAGACACTGCGCTGCCCGTTTCCATGGTACAAATTCTTGTAAGGCATACAATACTGACTCTACGGAGAGGCCGTCATAACTCTGAGTTGTCGGTAAATGACTACGTTGGTAAGTGAGGAGAGGCTGTAATGTACATTAGAGCTGATTTCCTCTATTCTGTTTATTACAATATACAGTACACTACTCTATAAACATTTAAAAATACAGTATACTAAAAACATTATAAATGGTGCAAAGGTGACATTAAAACAATATCAAAGATAGTTGACACAAACCCACTACCATTACAGTATGCTCCTCACTTAAGTGACGAATTCATTTACCGACGTGGTCTTAGGAACGGAACTCCATCGTTAAGTGAGGAGAGACTGTATTGTCATTTGGGGTCTGAAATGGTTTAATTTTATTTAAATTACTCTTTATGGGAAAAATTGCTTTGGATGTCAAATTGACATATGGAACAAATTAAATTCAACAACCAAAGTTCCACTGTATAAAGAAAAAGCAAAGTATTAATCTGCAGCTTTTTTTTTTTTTTAAATATAGTATCTATTTATAAAATCTTTAGCTCAACAAAATACTGTATATACAATGTACATTGCATGTTTAGAAACAACTTTACTCCTCACTCTCAAAATTATCCTGGTAACACAATGATAACTTTACTGCACTGAATAAAAGTAAATAAAACCTTGTGCAATAATTACTTTGAAAGAAGTTGTTGAAAGCTGTCATCATCTTCTGAAAAATCTTCTAGATCAAGCCTGACAGTCTCCAGTTCATCATCCTCCTGAATGAATATGGAAACTGTGTGTGAGTACCATAAAGCCTCTAAAATACAGTAATTAACAATAAAAATATATTGTGCGAACAAACTTGAAAAATAATCAAAATATTTCTATTTACACTTACATTATTCCCATCTAATTTAATTCAAATATTAGATTTTAAATATTTCATTCTATCTACTATGCTATAATATATACAATTGCCCAGTATTTTTCATGTGCTTTACAAGAGATAAATTTGAGCAAGCTTTAGAACAGAGTATTTTACATAGTCAGAGCTTCAGTGCCAATGAATCTTTATTAGGACTTTAGTTCACATGACTTTTTTTTTTTTCCTCAAATCTTGTTTTGAAAAAAATCACTGTAACCCTTTAAGTGTCGGTCCCGTAGTACTACGGCTTGAGAGCCAGTGTTGGTCCCGAAGTACTACACCAAAATTCTAACTCTTTCAGATCTGGTAGAAGAAAGCTGGTATGCCTACGTATGAAAGAATGGGTCTGTGTGGTCAGTGTGCACAATATAAAAAAAATCCTGCAGCACACACTGCATGAGAGAAAAAAAATCCAACCACATTTTTGGTTTAAAACAGCGACTTTGTGGTGTATTTTCATAATGTATTTATGGTTGCATTCTTGTTTTCTTGGTCTCATTTGATAGAATGGAAGATATATTAAAGAAATAGTGATGATTTTGATTGGTTTTTATGATGAAAAGTATCTTCAAATTAGTGGAAATGTTCGATTTTTGCTGATGTTCAAGAGTAAACAATACGTGTCCAACTGGCCAGTCTAATATGCAGTCACGAATGGGTTGATATTATTTATAAAATTATTATAATAATGCAGTAGTCTGCATAACAGTAAATCTATTTTTTGTGAGAATAAAAATTCAAAATGGAACAAGAGTATATAAGAGGGGCCTGGAGACATGACTAATAAACAGAGAAAATGTTATTTTAGTCCCAGGAATGTCTGCATTGTTTATTCTGGACCCTATTTTGAAACTGGCATCTTTTGAAATTTGTGTGAAATTGGCCAAATTGCCAATTTCTGACTACTGTATTGAGTAGTTGAAATTGATAAATGGGGGGTTTCTTGTACTCAATCGATAGAACAAATAGAGTTATAGCAAAATAGCTATGGTTTTAGTTGACTGGAACAATGGAATTAGCTGAAAATAAGGCTCAAAGTGGGCGAAATCGCCGATGTGTAAATATCACCAAGATCGGTAACTTCGCGAGAATGTAATTTCATAAGTTTTCCATCAAATTTTGTACTTTTGGTATCATTACCATAGGGAAAAGATTCTCCATCATTTCAAAAGATTTTTTTTTTTGTTTTTTCAATTTTCGACACAGAGTGAGTTAAGGATCAGGGGTCTCAACACTGAAAGAGTTAATTTTTCAGATAGAATGGTAATTTATCATTAATTTAGTTGCATCACACATTTACAAAACTTTGAATCTTCTAGAGCACCTAGTATGTGACCAGTTCTGCTGGTAACACCCTTGAGCACTATGCAACTATCTTATTAGTTAAGAGTGCAAGCCAAAGGCCTGGCCAATAGTTTGCTTATGTTATATTCATCATTATAGCTGTATGGTGATTTGTTTTGGATGTGAAATAAAGTGGTTCATGGTTCATTATATAGTGTTGTATCTTTTTGTGTACTTGAACTTGAAGTTACTGTTGGATACGTCAAACTTATATGCATCATTCTATCCATGAAGAAGACAAGGAGGTAGTAAGGCTTACATCGCTTTCTCTTAGACTCATGATAACATTTCCAGTGGCTTGTAAAAACTCATCAAAGTTGCACTCTTGTCTTCAAAGTTATCTTAACAGCATACTGTACTCTCAGCCACACTGTCACACATTAACAACAGCATTCTGTGTTTCAACAACACCTAGCCTAGGTAAGTTAAGTACTGTACACCCTGAACTGCTCTAACCATAAATAAAAATCATAAACAGCTGCTTTATCACAATCTGCATATTAAAAAATTGGTTTAGTAAGGATTAAGATATATTGCAACTTATTGGGTGGGGCTAACTAAAATAGACTTGATCTGGTCATGTCAGATTTTTTGCTAATGTACAAATATAATGCAAGACTAAGTACATTTCCCAGCATGAACTTGACAACCCCATATTTATATTCTATTTCCCCTTTCCATCTTCACTGTTTACTTTATCATATAATCCCATTATTTTCACCTTCATTAATTTTCAATCTTGATATGTTTCATTCTCTACCTGTTTACTGCCTTGTACTGTATATCCTTTCATGCAGAAAACATCAAAATATTTTTTCATTAAGCAATTTTCTTAAAGTAATTTATCATCAATGACTTTCCTTCATGTCAGTTCTAACTTTCCCTAAACATCTTTTCTAACTTTACATAAAACATCTTGGCAAATTCATAGCTTAACCCTTTCACTGTCCCGACCCCTGAATTTAATATTGGTCTTAGTATCCACGTATAATTATTTTTCTGAAGTGGTAGAGAATTTTTTCTGAAGGTTGTGACATCAAAAGTACAAAATTTGATTAAAAAATTACAGAATTACACAAGCACAAACTAGTCTGAGTGCAGTTTTGCCCACTTTAAAATCCAATTTTAAAACCAATCCCATTGCTCAGTTCAACCAAATTCTTGGATTTTTTGCTAGTGTGCCTTTCAATCTACTGACTGAACACAAGAATCTGCCCATTCAGCTATTAGAACTACCCTATAAAGTGCACAAAATTCAATAATTTGGCAAATTTTACACAAAATTAAAAAAAATCCAATTTAAAAATATAGTCTAAAATAATCACTGTAGACATTCCAGGCACTGAAACATTTCTTCTGTTCATTACTCATGTCCCCAGTCCTCTCCTATATTACACTTGCCTTCTATTTTGAATTCATCAAACAAACAATTTCTTGGATAATAAAATAAAACCACTAATGACTGTCATGGTTAATGACATCCCAATAATTGAATCAGATGAATTAAAAACACATAAAACAGATCAGGGATGTAGGAAAGCCTTACCCATCCTTTGGAATATTGGCAAAAATCAAATATTTCCATTACTCTGAGCTCAATTTCAAGCTACTTGCAATCCTGAAACCACTCAAAATCTTCTCTATATCAGTAGTATATCTTCCATTCTATCAACTGATATCAAGAAACAGCCAATAAAACCATAATAATCACCCAAGAAAATACCTCAAAGTTGCTATTTTAAACCAAATACAAAGTCAGTATTTTGCCTTTCCCATCATGCACTGCATGGGGCAGGATTTATTTTTATAGAGTGCACACTCACCACACAGACTCAATCTCTGATATCTAAGCCAAAATTTATCGCTCACAAATTATCTAAAGGAGCTGTGCTCAAAACATAGATCTAACGCAAGGGAGTGAAGGACCCTGGCATCAATAACGTAGATATACAAGACAGCCACTGAATGGGTTAATTTTTGTCACCTTGCCATCTTCTAATGAATAATAATCGTGTGATAGCTTTAGTAAGTTAACTTATACCGTATTGCACTACTGATACCATACACCAGTTGCCTTATTAAAAAAGATTTTGATTAGTGACACTGTACTATGATGTATGTATTTATTCCTCATTCTCACCACCATTTCCCCAAATTAAGAATTTCCTTCTGGTGTTGCTGCTTCTCATTTATGCAAAAATAAAAATCTGAATCCAAAATCTTATTTAGTCTCTTATACAGAAATAGTCTTGCATTAACCATATCTTCTTATTCTTTTTTTTATTACTCAAATTATGCTCATTAGCACTAGTTTAAGTTAATCTGCAGTTTGAACTGATAATTCTCATCATGATCCATGCTGTAGAAATAATCCAACATTTCTATTAATACTTCATTTGTTTCACATGACAACCAGAATTTTTAAGGAAAAAATTCAGAATATTGAAACTCTTGATAATGTTACTTACAAAATCCTTTATACAGTATTATCTTGCATAGTTTGCTCTAAATCTTGCTCAAACTAATACTTATAAGCAAATTAATACTACATACTACTTCCATCTACTTATATTTACAATATTAACAATATTTCTATAATGCACTACAATATGTTAGTGGGTTAAATTGACCCAAACCTGCAGGAGAGAAATCCCTGTTAACTTTGTTAGTTATATGTTATGTAATACCTAAAGCTAAACCTGGCCTTCATTGGTCACTACTCAAGCACTACTTAGCACAGTGTGTGAGATATGGGATCTTTTGGATTATGATATGAGGAAAAAATGTACAAATGAGTGGACAATGAGTAAGTTTTATGAACCCTTACATTTAGAAAAAATTACCACATAAATACTGGTTGAGGTTCACAACAAAATTCTTAAATCAAGGTAAGTTTCTTGTGTCCTTAAGATGTGACTCTGGGTTTGTGATAGGGACAGTTACTAAAAACTAATGTAGCAATACAGAGCAGAAGACAGGACAGGGTGTGGGAAGTGCAGTAACCCACACAAACAGCGACAGGATCCAAGAGCGTCCCAAACTTTATCGAGTGCAGGAACTTACTGTCCAAGAGCACGAACGACCCGTTTCAAGCTGGGCTGTGGGCGAGGGCCACGGTCGGCTACTGAGTGGATTGGGGTAGCTCTGGTGCATGCAGGTACATGGGTAATGATAGGACTGAGGAGAGTAATGTGAAGGCTGTGGAGAACACTGAGGACTCTGATACAGTTGGTGTGGTGAATGACCATATGGATGAAGTGGTTTTGGAGAGTAACGAAGGTGTTTAGGACTTTTGGGAGACAATGGAATATAATGGGATGTAAGGGGAGGTGAATGATGATAATAATATTTTGGAGATCGTGGGGAAAGGTGAGGTGTTTCTAGTGCATAATGTGTTTTGTATGCCTCTGTGGGTGACATATTTCGTGGTGATTCATGCAAAGGTTCATATAAAGGATCATCCTCTTCAAAGCCTTCTTCACTACTGGAGCATGATGAGTGACAGTAACTTCTTTGACGATACAGTGGTACTGAGCCTGGAACTTGCCACTGTCGGGATTCTTCTGTTTGATAATGATGAGTCACTCCAGCACCTCCCTGAATAGTATAATAGACATCTTCCTGGAATGCTGGAGTATGAATGATAGTGGGACCAGATGACTTAGCACGAGGATTTGCACTTGCATGAGACGGTGTATGGACGGTATGATAAACAGAGTCTTCTACACTAATATTAAACCTGTCCTGTCCAGTTAGTCTTCGTAGGGCTGGGCTACGCTTTATATTTGATGATGGTGAAAGCATGCTAGACTTTTGAATCTCATTAAAATTGATGCTATTGCCTGCTCGAAGGGAATGAAAGTGTGGTGCAGAATTATTTGCATCTCCAAGTTCCCAAGAAGACTGTGACAATCCTGAATCTCTGGTACTAGCCAACCCCAAATGCTGTATGTTACTTACACTTTTGGTGCGGGATAATGGGCTATACACACTAAATGTGCTTTTTTCAACAGAGCGACTCAAAGATTCTCGTGACTTATGTAAAGCCTCTCTAGACTGTTTCACTTCTTCGAACAAATTACCCAAGTCTAAAATGCTGCTACTGCGATCCAGCCAGTTAACACTACCCGCTTTTTTTATGGGAGACTTCAGAGTTGTGTTTCTAGGTGGGATTGGAGGAGGAACTGGACTGGTAAGACTACTTGTAGATTTTGGCTTTGGACGCTGTGCTAGGCTTGATTTAACAGTTAATGATGGTGAAAGAGAGGAAAGATTACGCTCTTGTTCTTTAGCCTCTTCAGTTTGCACTTCAACACTTCTACTGTAATACAGTGTGTGTGCCCTTCCATCAGACTGACTGTCAAGCAATGATTCAAATACTTCTTCTGTATCAGCATCATATGATGTGCTTCTCGAAACTTTTAATTTAGTCAAAGTTGTTTTGGTAGTTTCAGAAAGTTTGGGTATTGCTCCCCCTCCAATACCATGTGATTTCTTTTTAGCAGTACCACACAGTCTAGAGGGTAGCTTGAGAATTGGTGGGGGCTCACTTGGTGGCAGAGAGCTTGTAGATAAAGGATGAAATGGTTGCTCTACAATTTGCGATAAAATCGGTGTTCCGTGTACTGGTGAGCCGACTGGAACATTGAAATTAGTTGTTCTACTGTTTTTAAAAGCATTGACTTTTGCTTGCTGGTTAGTGGCACTGGAGGGTGAAGCTGGACATCCCTGTGATGAGCAGCTTGTACTGGCAGCTGTGTTGGAATTGTGAGGATACAGTAGGGTTGAGGGAGACACAGTGGCCTCCTCACACAAATGTGTCTGCATGGGAAGGGTACAGGAAGAGGATGAAGGCTGGGACTGGGGCTGCCACCTATCGCCAGGGAGTCTAGTAACAACCTATAGAAAGCAAAACAATTCTTAGTGTGCATCTTAATGATCACAGCAGCATCTCTTAACATGAAACTAAAATTATTAAAATATTAATTTGTATTTGTAATACAATACCATGCATCTCATCCAATCAATTCATTCATGCAATTACAAATGTATTGAAATTTGAATCATGCATAAATTATAATACTTCCAAACTGCCTCTATACAGTACAGGCAATTTTATAAATACATTATAAATTTTGCAAAAAAGCAAAAAAAAAAAAAACTACAACAAAATCAGAGCAAAATTATAAGCTGCACACTTAACAGAAACAGTCATAATGCTAAAGTAGTAGTCAAAAGAAGAAAAAAGAAACCACAGGAAAATTTGGCTTCAGTACATAAGAAATGCTGAAATACTCTTAAAAAAAAAAATACTGTACCGGTATGCAGTAAAACCAACCAATAACTATAACAAAGTGCAATACATACGCCACTGAACTGGCTGCCTTCTATGGTTGGCGCACAGTCTTCAGTAGAATTATTGGCAGTTGACCGGTGTTGAGTGAATGTTTCTAAATCAGCAGCTGGTGTAGCAGGTGTGGTGGCTGGAGTATCCTCCGAGACAAATGAAGAAGTCATGGAAGGTGCAGCAGATGCAGTGATGGAGGGAGGCTCTGAAGGAGTACCACCCTATGAAAGGAAAAATATTCTAATATTAATGGTATACAATACATGCAAGTTAATGATGAATAAGGAATGTGCAGCACCCAAATATCACTGTCGCTGAAACATTTCATCTAAGCAGCAAGCTCTTCGGTCAAATACAGAGGTGACTTTACTACTGGAAATAATGAAAGAAATAGAGAGGTTATTTCAAGGTGTTCAGTCCCTAAGCTAGCCTTGATAGAAAGTGTTCAGTCCCTTAGTTTTGGTTAAAGGTAGTCAGCCCCTTATATTTTTTAAATACAGTGGACCCCCGCTTAACGATCACCTCCCAATGCGACCAATTATGTAAGTGCGTTTGTACGTGTATGTTTGGGGGTCTGAAATGGACTAATCTACTTCACAATATTCCTTATGGGAACAAATTCGGTCAGTACTGGCACCTGAACATACTTCTGGAATGAAAAAATGTCGTTAACCGGGAGTCCACTGTACATGATCAATTAAGGCTAAGAGATTGAACACCTGTCAAGGATAAGCAACTGAACACCTCAAAATTACCCCTCTAATTTTTTCACTGTCACGAGTGTTCAACTGAAGAAGCCTGCTGAGCAAGCAAAACATTTCAGCAATAATGATGCACAGGTGCTGCACATGTCTGTTTCATCAGAAAATAATATTAACTTTTTAGCTGACTCTCAAAAGAACGTCTTGTATAAAAGAATAAGAAAGTCATTTCCCATACTGTCAATTATAATTTTAGTGCTGCTGTGTATTAGTACATTTGCAAGAAAAGCATGATAACACATTTATTAACCCTTTGACTGTCACGACCGTATATATATGTCTTACGAGGTACCGTGTTTGACGTATATATACTCATAAATTCTAGCGGCTTCAAATCAAGCAGGAGAAAGCTCGTAGGCCCACATGTGAGAGAATGAGTCTGTATGGTCAGTGTGCACCATATAAAAAAAATCCTGGAGCACGCAGTGCATAATGAGAAAAAAAAAACTCCGACCATTTTTTTTAATTAAAATGCCGACTTTGTGGTCTATTTTCGTATAGTATTTATGGTTGTATTCTTGTTTTCTTGGTCTCATTTGATAGAATGGAAAACATATTATAGAAATGGAGGTGATTTTGATTGATTTTACTATAAAAAGAACCTAGAAATGGAGCTCAAAGTTGGGGAAATGTTTGATTTTTGCCAATGTTCAAAAGTAAACAAATGATGCCATTGTCCAATAAATGTCCAATTAGCCATTCTAATATGCAGTCATGAATGGGTTAATGTTATTTATACAATTATTACAGTATTGCAGTAGTCTGCATAATAGTAAGTCTTCTATTTTTTGTTTGAATAAAAATTCAAATAGAAAGCAAGAGTAATACCAGAGGGGCCTGGAGACATACTGATGAGCAAAGAAAATGTTATTTTAGAGCCAGGAATGTCTGCATTGTTCATTCTGGACCTTATTTTGAAGTTGTCATATTTTTTAGTTTTCGTGAAATTGGCCAAATTGCAAATTTCTGACCACATTATTAGGTAGTTGAAATCGGTAAATGGGCAGTTTCTTGTACTCAATCGATAGAAAAAAATGGAGTTCTAAAGAAGTAGCTATGAGTTTGGGCGACTGGAATAATGGAAGTAGCTGAAAATAGGGCTCAAAGTGGGCGAAATCGCCGATTTGTAAACAGCGCCGAGGTCGCTAACTTCATGAGAGCATAATTCCGTCAGTTTTCGATCAAATTTCGTTTTTTTGGTGTCATTACAATCGGGAAAAGATTCTCTATCATTTCATAAGAAAAAATAATTTTTTTTTTTTTTTAAATTTTGCGACACCAGGAGACACCTCAGGATTGGGGGTTGCGACAGTCAAAAGGTTAATAAAATATTTATCAATAAATATTAATTACTGTTTATTATAATATAGACAAAACATGCCTTTAATGTGATTAAACTTTTTTTCAGGAAATTCAGTTTGATGATAATCCTACTGAGAAAAAACTAAAGTTTATTTTAAAAATACATTCAGACTGGTGCTGTAGTAACAAGTCTGTAATATAATGTAATATACATGAGAAAATATGATTAACATTGCAAAGGATTAAGATTATACTTAGTATAGACTGAAGGATACCAATTGGAAGTTCAAAAAGTCAATTATTAATAGTGTAAAACTGGTACAAACTTTAAAATGAAGGGAGATTTGAGAGTGTAAGAGGCATGTTAGTAGGCTCATGTTACATGGTGATCTGAAAGTTAACAGATCCTGAAATTTGTAGCACAGAAAAATATTCCTAAATAGGTTAAGTCAAGTAACCTCAAAATAAGATGTATAGGTTCGTACAGAAGATGCCCAATACTACTTATCAAAATACAGTGGTATCTCGGGATACAAAATTAATTAGTTCCAGAAGGCTGTTCAAGTGCCAATACCAAACGAATTTGTTCCCATAAGGATAATGTAAATTAGATTAATCCGTTTCAGACCCCTAAAAATGCACTTACAAAAGCACTTACATAACTGTTTGAGTTTTGAGCTGTTCGTATCCCGAGGTACCACTGTATTTAGCTACTGCCCAGCACAGGTGTTGGTAGTAAAGGGAAGAGTAAAGAGGAAAGGGGGGCATCAGAAATGCACACCTTATCTCTACTTCTACAACACTGTGTAAATGTCAATGCTAATGTACCAACTTTACAAAATGTAAAATATAAGAGAACACACAAACCCTACCTTAAAAGCAAACACTCAGCCTGACACCCACATCATACATTGACAAACCCATAATCTATTCCTTTTTTTCAATTTCTCTGCCAACACCACCACCACCAGCAACTTTCAGTCCAATAATCGGACTCCCACCTCCATCATAGCCACCTCCATCACCACCCACTTCTTACTCCTCCCTAAATGCTGCTAAACTATTTAACTCCCCATCCCCCCATCTCCTACTATTCTTCATTCACCTGTGCCAACATCCACCACTCAAACTTTCCTCCATCCTTATCACTGTCTATATCCCACCATACTGAAGCATAACCAACACAATCTGGCAACCACAATGTGAAAAAAACTCATATCAAAGCACTGTACACAACGGCTAATTAAAAAAAAAGCATGCTAAATAACATGGTGCAAGAGCTACACCCTGACCTTGCTGCAATCACAGCAACTAAGATTTGGCTAAGGTTTTGACTGATACTTGGCATAGCTCTGGCACTAGTGTACATTGTACAATATACAGAACTTATGTACACCATGGAATAAATATTTCATGATGAAATTGTTATTTTGCAAGATATTAGTCTGAAGCCTGGTCTCAGACCAAGCTGCAGGGGCAATGACCCCCGAAACCCTCTCCAGGTAAATTCCAGGTAAACCACAACACATCTGAACCAATCAGCTCTTATTACTGATTTGGGTCAACACTTGGCCGAATGTAAAGAAAAATGCATATCTACCAATAGCTATTTGAGGTTTGGTTATGTGGATTAGGTTTAGGTTCTTTTTATACTATTTGCACAAACTAATATCTCAAATGTAAAACCAACTTCGTATTATACAATTCAAACTATTATTAACGCTTTCAATGGCAGTCACTTAAAACTATGTCATTGAGGCCAGAGTCCCCCATATAGTTTTATGTTATGAGCTCATCTCACTCAGATATGCTGTGAGTGTTAATTTTGTCCTAGATAAGGGAGAATGGGTCTGCATGGTGACTGTACACAGTATAAAAAAAATCCTGACCCATACAGTGCATGATAGTAAAAGAAAAACTGACCGTGTGTATGGTTCAAATTACAGCCTCTCCTCATTTAGTGATGTACTCATTTACCGATGACTTGGACTTACGACAGCCTCTCTGACCAGTATGCATACCTAAATATTGTATATTAAAGCTGATTTCCTCTATTCTGTTTATTACAATATACAAACAATACACTACTGTATAAACATTTAAAAATATACTAAAGTTGTTTTAAATGGCGCAAAGGTGACAGTAAAACAATATCAAAGATGGCTGACACAAACTCACTAGCAACTTATCGACAGAGTTCTGGTCTTACGAACAGAACTCCGTCAATAAGTAAGGAGAGGGCTGTAGTGACTTTGAGGCATTTTCTTGGATTCTTTTTTTGTTTTTGTTTATTGGCTGTTTCTTGGCATCAGTGGACAGAATGGAAGACAAACTACTGAAACAGAAATAATTTTGGTTGGATTCAGGAACAGAAGTAGCACAAGACTGAGCTCAAAGTAGTGGAAATACAGTGGAACCTCGGCTTATGAGTGCCCCAGCATGCGAGCTTTTCAGGATATGAGCATTGCTCGGTCGATTTTTTGTTTCTGGATACAAGCCAAAATTCAGGATGCGTGCTTCCCCTTCAAGGGAGGTTCCTTGATGCTGATGAGGAGCTCTTGATCTAGGGAATTGTATCTGTTTACCTGGAGTTTACCTGGAGAGAGTTTCGGGGGTCAACGCCCCCGCGGCCCGGTCTGTGACCAGGCCTCCTGGTGGATCAGCGCCTGATCAACCAGGCTGTTGCTGCTGGCTGCACGCAAACCAACGTACGAGCCACAGCCCGGCTGATCAGGAACTGTCTTTAGGTGCTTGTCCAGTGCCAGCTTGAAGACTGCCAGGGGTCTGTTGGTAATCCCCCTTATGTGTGCTGGGAGGCAGTTGAACAGTCTCGGGCCCCTGACACTTATTGTATGGTCTCTTAACGTGCTAGTGACACCCCTGCTTTTCATTGGGGGGATGGTGCATCGTCTGCCAAGTCTTTTGCTTTCGTAGTGAGTGATTTTCGTGTGCAAGTTTGGGACTAGTCCCTCTAGATTTTCCAGGTGTATATAATCATGTATCTCTCCCTCCTGCGTTCCAGGGAATACAGGTTTAGAAACCTCAAGCGCTCCCAGTAATTGAGGTGTTTTATCTCCGTTATGCGCGCCGATGAAAGTTCTCTGTACATTTTCTAGGTCGGCAATTTCACCTGCCTTGAAAGGTGCTGTTAGAGTGCA